TATTCTAACAAAATTAATTTTAAACAATTGATATAAGTAAAATAAATATATTTGTTTTAATTGTAAAATGTATATCAATAAAAAATTTGTAATAAAATAATCAGGCTGTTTTTTTTGAGACTCGACAGAAGTAAAAGATGAAAGAGAAAGGGTGGATTGAAGAAACTCGTGAAAGTTAATTATAACATCAGAATAATTGATGATAAAACAACGAGGTGCTTTGTCACCATCAATGTGCTCATGAAAGTTATAGCATTGAGCTTTTTAATGCACAAATATACTATATACTTTGGAGTAGGGTCTAAGCTCAAGTTCAATTACACAAATACATACGAAATGTCAAGGTATCGTAACCAAAAAAATAAAATTGTTTAGGTGAGCATGAGTTCAGCAAAATCTAAGAATCCCGATTGTCAATATAATTTGTGTTTAACTAATAAAAGTAATATGGATTAACAATAACTCAATTAATTAACAACATCTTTTGATGTTAGAAGTGAATAAATTTCATCTCTTATATCTACTATTTTTATGTATAAAAAATTTAACTGATAAATCTCAAACTCAACTAATACAATATTGAACTTCATCGACGTACAAATTGAAATTAAATAAGTACATAATAACTAATATTTACTCAATTTATTATTAACATACATTTACTTAATCAATTTTTACGTACTATTTTTCCATTGTATTTTATTTGACATTAAATATACAGTTGTAATTAATATTTGAAGAGATTAACTTGAAAAGTGAGTTAATTTTTACTAGCTTAAAGTTAATAAGAATATATGTATTATATATACATTTTAAGCCCACAATGGGTGAAAAGGTAAGATTTAGGGCCTAATTTTGTGAAGGGAATTTTACCCCCACATCACATGTGAGAATAGTCTAAAGCGTGGGGATATATAGGCATGCAGGTTTTTGGAAAGAGGGGGTCGGAAGTGTAGCAATAACAATAGTGAATGTATATTCCTCATGCATGTGACATGGTACACAAAAGAAGACTGGGGGAGAAGTTGAGAGGGAAAATACTGTTAGTGGAGGAGAATATGGATAGTTGGGTGTGGGATTGTAAGTGGAGGAGAAGGTTGTTTAAATCAGAAACAATCCATTGGCCAAATCTGCAGCAATTATTATTGAATGTTAAAATGCCAAATGCAAAGAAAGATAGTTGGGTGTGGCTTGTCGGAAGCTCAGGGTTATTTTTAGTAAATTTTGCATATAAAACAATGCACATAATGCAAAATTTGGAAGTTGTGTGGATAAAATAGCCTCAAAAGTATGGAAAATGAAAGTAACCTCTAAGGTTGCGATTTTGGTTTGGAGGGTACTCAATAATGGGTTGCTAACACCAAACAACCTCAGAAGGAATGTAATTTTTGAGGGTTAAAGACTGTATCTGTCCACTATGTCATATATACAAAAGAAGAAACAATTGCACTTTTTTTTTTTTTTTTTCACGTGCAAGGAGGCTGACTTAGTGTGGAAGGAATGCTATCAATGGGTATCTGTAGCAACTGTTTTACTAGAAAGTCCAAATCAACATGTGACAAGTTGTTCAGTCACAAAGAATATTTGGGGACATAGAAACAATTACATTTTTAGAGGTGCTGAGTTTGATAGGCAAAAATTGAAACAAGATATCATGTTCACTACTTAATCTTGACTCAATTTAAGAAAAAACCAGTTTTAACATAATTTTAACACAAACAGTATAAGTATATATATATATAATCTAATTTCACAACTATTAGTTAAGACTTAAGAATTTAAATAACATCGTAAATTAACAAATATCATATCTATATATAATTAAGATATTTTAACTTTAAAATTATATTGTTTAGATAGAAAAATGTATAAATAATTTTGATAAAAACATCTTTAAAATATGCTTAAAATGGATGCGTATAGTTTAAAGAAATTTGAACTTAAAATTAAAATATAAAGAAGTTATGAACGACTAATATATAATATAATTATTTATAAGAGAGTAGACTTTTCATATCAACGTAGTTGGTCACATGTCATTTTAAAAAAAATAATTGATATATTAGACAAGTTATTGAACCAATATAACATTATCATAAAAAATTAAATAATCATATAATAAACGATATATTTCATCACAAAAATCATTAAAAATGTTTTATTTATAGACTAGTGGATAAAAGATATTACATGTCTTTTTTTTTTTTAATATATACATATGTTAGTAGGGGTAGTGTGTGACCATTAAGAAATTCAAAGAAATAGACTTTTTTATTTATATTAATTAATTATTATTATATAATATTTCTTAAAAAGTTAAAATCGTCTAAAATAATGTATACATAAAAATAAGGAATCTTCTTTTTAAAAATAATATAG